AAACAAATTCATGGCATTAACTATGAAGAAACCTTTCGCCAGTTGCCATGATTAAATCCATCCGATTATGCTTGCGATTACTGCATATCATGACTATGAGATTTGGCAAATGGATGTCAAAACTTCTTTCCTGAACGGAAACCTTGAGGAGGATGTGTATATGACAAACCTGATAGTTTGTCTCTGATAATCAAGCAAAAGGTATGCAAGTCGCAGAGATCCATTTATGGACTCAGGCAAGTCTTAAGAGCTGGAACATCCTTTGATAAGGCCGTAAAGAATTTGGTTTATCAAGAACGAAGATGAGCCTGTGGTTATAAGAAAATGAGTGGAGCACAGTAGCATTCCTAGTGTTGTATGTCGATGACAATACTTCTGATCGGGAAGATATACCAAACTTGCGTTGGTAAAGACTTGGTTATCCAAGTGCTTCTCCATGAAGGACTATGGGAAGTAGCCAATCCTTGGTATCAAGATCTATCGTGATAGATCACGTAGGTGCTTGGCCTAAGTTAGAGTGCATATATTGACAAGGTACTGAAAAGATTCAGTATGGAAGAATCCAGAAGGGATTTTTCTAATGTCACATGGTGTTTATCTCTAAAAAATCATATCCTAAACACAAGATGAGAGGATAAGAAGAAGAGGATCCCATATGCATCAGCAATTGGATCAATCATGTATGCTATGTTGTACTGGATTGATGTTCATGTGCTTTAAGTACTTGTAGTAGATATCAAACGAATCCAGGTGGGCGTCACTGGATGGTTGTCAAGAATATTCTTAAGTACTGAAGAGGACTAAGGATATGTCTTGGTTATGGAGGGGAAGATAAGCTCACTGTAGGAGGATACAGTGATGCTAGTTTCCAAACGGACAAAGATGATTATCGATCGCAATCAGGGTTTGTATTTTGTCTCAATGACAGTGTGGTGAGTTGGAAGAGCTCCAAGCAAAGCATTGTGAGCGGCTCTACATAGAGGCTGAGTATATTGCATTGTCAGATGCGGCCAAGGAGGTAGTCTGGATTAAAAAATTCATTAAGAACTTGGTGTGGTTCCTACGATTGTTGATCCTATAGACATCTATTGGACAACAAATGGAGCAATTGCTCAAGCCAGGGAACCACGGTCTCATCAGAAGTCTAGGACACATACTCAGACGATTCCATTCATTAGAGAGATAGTTGAGAGAAAGACGTGCAGATTAGTAAAGTACATACTGAGACAATCTGCAGATCCACGACAACGCCTCTGTCGCAGCAGAAGCATGAAAAGCACTTGAGATCATTTGGTATTAAATACATGAATGATTGGCTATAGTGCAAGTGGGAGATTGTTAGAGTAGATGCCCTAGAGCCAATCAATTATGTAGGACGACTCTTTGTAATAATGTTCATTAATCATAGTAAAAAGGCATTTTATCCTATATCGGTAAATCATTATTATTGCAATTGTAGATATATGTCTTTAGAATGGTAGAACTGTGACAAGGGTATCAAGTGTTTCAAATCTTGATAGTGAGAACCTATGAGCACATATGGTGGCCATTCTAGAAACGTCCAAGCCCTAGTATATTTGAAGTAAGGGCACAGATAATACGGTAAGGCTATTAAGTTGAACGACCATCGAAAGACAGTGACTGTCTCACTTGTTCAAGGTTGTTTGGTGACAACCCAGTGCAACACATGGGTGCTTGCTATAGGCCGATATAACGCAGCAAGTTCACTAGACTAACCCACCAGAGGATCTGATACGGATGGTAACCTAGTGTTATGGATAAATCCTCTAACGAATGGTGGTACAATGTGATCCTTAGACTTGAGATCACCAAAGGGCTTGTGACCGATTAACACTTAAGGACAATGGTTAGAGCCATTGGATTGTGTGATTGGCTTGTTGGCTTTTTCACATTTGAGGTTGATAGTAGGAGCTATCAACTGGTGTGGATTAAGTTTGTTGGCCTACCTAATCAACTCATTTTGGCTTGTTCGCCAAAATGAAGGTTTGAAATAGGCCGAATGAGATCTTAGTCCACTAGGAAAGTCAACGGGCTTTCTCGAGTTAATAGTGAGGGCTATTGGCTTGGGAGCATCATCTAATAAAAGACCGTATTAAATAATAATGAACTTTATAATAACTTTATCTTTTCTGCAATTGTAGATTCACCAAAATGAGCATTATGAACTTGTGACCGATAATCGAGAAAGAAAACAGGTTTGATGGATCCAATTTCTCAGACTGGTATCGTAATCTTCGGATTATACTCAAGTTAGAAAAGAAATTGTATATCCTTGAAAAGCCATACATGGCTGAGCTTTATCCTGATGCCACTCAGGAAGTTAAGGATACTTATCAAAAGTTCCTTGATGATGTTGATAGTGTTCAATGCTTGATGTTAGCATCGAGGAAACCTATGTTGCAAAAGCAGCATGAGAATATGGATGCTTCTTCCATTATTCTACACCTCAAGGAGCTTTTTGAAACAAATGCTCGAAATGAGAGATACAAGGTGTCGAAAGCACTGTTTAGGAGTTGTCTGACTGAGGGTGTCCAAGTTGGTCCTTATGTGCTCAAGATGATCGAGCATATAGAGAGGCTTGAGACTTTGGGATGTGGCTTGGATGCAAAATTACAAATGGATTTCATTCTGCAATCCTTGCCTGACTCTTATGCTCTATTCATAATGAATTTCAATATGAACACGATGGAGAAAAACCTATCAGTACTTTTGAACATGCTGAGGACTACAGAGCAGGACTTGAAAAAGTCCAAGCCTATTTTACTGATTACTGCCAGTAAAGCAAAGGGCAATAGTAAAGGTAAGGCCAAGGCCAAACCCAAGCCCAAACCCAAACCCAAACCCAAAGGACAGGTTGCTCTTGGGCCTGAGAGTGGCATAGGGAAGGGCAAAGTAGTCTGCTTCTTTTGTGGCAAGCCTAGCCACTGGAGGAAACACTGCAAGGCTTTCCTGGCAAGCAAGAAGAAGTCAGATGCTACGACTTCAGGGAGTAAGGTAGAGTAGAGTGCTCGCCAAGGGAGAGGTGGACCTATGAGTTGGAAATGAAGCACATGTGGCTATATTGGTTGTAAGGACCTACTGTTTATCTTTGCCTATGGGCTTGTTATTGGAACTACATAACTATTATCACGTACCTTCTATTTCTAGAAATATTATTTCAGTATCCACTTTGGATAATATAGGGCATCATTTTGAGATATCTAATGGATTGTTGTCCTTTAGTTTGAATGGTATTCTATTTGGAATTGCAAGGTTAGATAATGGAATATATGTTCTTGATTTAAACAATAAAGATATTCTTAACATTGAAACCAAGAAAGCTAAACATAGCAATCAAAACCAGGCATATCTCTGGCACTGTAGATTGTGTTATGTTAATAAGACCCGCATTGCAAAACTTCAAAAGGCTAGAGTTTTGGACAATTTTTACTTTCAATCATTTGAGGTATGCGAGTCATGCCTGTTAGGCAAGATGACCAAGTCTCCTTTCACAGGACAAGGTGAAAGGGCTACTGAGTTGTTAGGCATCATCTATAGTGATGTATGTGGTCCACTAACAGTTGAAGCCAGAGGTGGATATTTATACTTCATCAAATTTATTGACGATTTCAGTAGATATGGTTATGTCTACCTTATGAGACATAAATCTGAAGCCTTTGATAAATTCAAGGAATTCAGGAATGAAGTACATAATATGTTGGGTAAAAATATTAAAGCTCTTCGCTCGGATCGAGGAGGTGAATACTTAAGCTTAGGGTTTTCAGAGTACCTGAAAGAATTTGGGATAGTATCACAACTCACCCCTCTTTATACACCCAACACAATGGAGTGTCAGAAAGGAGGATCGGGACCTTACTTGACATGGTTAGGTCCATAATGAGTTTTAGTGATTTACCTGTATCGTTTTGGGGTTATGCCCTAGAAACTGCACCTCACGTTTTGAACCGTGTGCCGTCAAAGTCTNATTAGAGCTGAGAAGAAATACGGGATAGCTCACTGCACTAAAAGGAATAAAGTTGGCTTCAAGGTGGAGACTGAAAGTATTGTAAAGCCAAAAACGGAGCCGTTTCACTTAAGTATATTCAAGCCAAAACGGGGTCGTTTTGTTTAAGACCATTACCAAACTTCAGCCGTCAGATCAAGACAGATCCAAGGGCTGAGAATTACTAATGCAGACATATATAAAGAAGAGCAACAGTGATAAAAACTGATAGAACGCGTTTTTGTTAGTCTGTGTATTAGGGTTTGCAAAAGGGGGAAAAACACTAGGGCTGGGTTTGTTGCAGAATCTTTCTGGGTTAATCTGGGTTGATTAAGAGAGGGTTGCGTTTCCTTCTAGAGGCTGGTATTTGTCCTCTGTTTCTTGCAGATTATTGAGAGATTCTTGAGTGATTAGGCCTTGGTGGGTGTTAGTCTGTTTTTGGCAGATTTGTAGTCTTGTCCTTCTTGTAATCGTTGAATATCTTCTTAGTGCTGTGGGCTTCCATATTTCGGAGCTCAACGTGGATGTAGTCTATCCAAGATTGGATAGACGAACCACGGTAAAAATTGTGACTTGTGTGTGTGTGATTCTTTTGATCTTTAATCTTGTGTGTGTTGTTTGTGTTGCGAATTTGCTTATTAGGCTTAGGTTATAACAGATATATTTTGGATTCCATTATCATTTTGTTCGACTGAAGTTTTCTGACATTGTACGGAAGAATCTGCTGCGACAAACAAAAACTAACCAGCCGGCAACGCTCGACTCCACGTGAAGTGTCGCGGGAAGATGAGGACCATTCAAATTAACATCAAATCATTTCATTCAAAGAATGTTTTATTTATTTGGTCGTGCAAAGGTGATCAAGTGGTTTCACTTTAATTAATTTTGTTTTATTGAAATGAACTACAAAAGAGAATCAAACTCAGTGCTTTCACTAATATAAGTAAAACACTTCCCATCTCATCATTCTTTCGTTCTTACTTTCTCTCTCTTTTGAACTTCCATCTCCGGTTTGTTTTTCTTAATTACTACTCTATTTGGTTCTCTGACATTACGGTTTCATACATTTGTCGAAAGTTACCATTCCATCATGGCTACCGCCGAGGATAAACACGTCCCGTATCTTCACGGTGATCTTGTCCTTACGATCATCGAGGTTCGAAGGGTTCTGAATTGGGCCACCGGGAAGGGCGATGGAATCGAGGAGCTTAATAACCTCGACCCCCGTAAGGCTATCTTCGGCGACTCTTATGTTACAGTGTTAGTGCCGCAAGCCACTTTGGGGCGCACTCGTATCATTGAGAAGAACTCTCAGAATCTATTCTGGAACGACCAGTTTTTTATTCCCTTGGCTCACCCTGCAACTGAACTCGAGTTTCAAGTTATAGTCAAGAGTTTCTTTGGGCCCAAGGTTATTGGGAAGGCAAAAATTCCAGCGGAAAAAATGGCCAACGGCAAGGATATCTCGGGATGGTTCCGAATCGTCCGATCCAGCTGTATTAAGACACACAAAGCCTTGCGACTGAAGATGAAATTTACGCCGTGTGAAACAAATCCAATATACCGCTATGGCATTGCCGGTGATCCTAAGCTGGAAGGAGTTCGAAACACGTATTTTCCGTTACGAAAGGGAAATCAAGTGACGCTGTACCAGGACGCTCACGTGAGGAAGGAGTCCTTGCCTCACGTTACGCTTGAGGGAGATCAGGTTTATAAGCCAGGCACGTGCTGGGAGGACATTTGCGAAGCCATTTTAGATGCTCGTCATCTGATCTACATTATGGGGTGGTCTGTGTTTGTGAAGATTAAGCTCGTTAGAGAGCCCACTCGGCCGTTGCCGAGTGGTGGTGATTTGACACTCGGTAAGTTGCTGAAGTATAAATCGCAGGAAGGTGTCAGAGTTGTGTTGTTGATTTGGGAGGATAAGACATCCCGTGACGAGTTCGGAGTCAAAACGGTGAGTAGGGAAGCCAACATTTTCAGCTTATTTTGTGAAGATGCTAATATTAGGCTTTCTACTTTTGTTAACAAAATTTGGGAACTAATTTTACATGTTCTTAAATAATGAGAAAACAGTCTTCTTTAAAAAGTAGTTTCCATGTTCTATTGGTTATACATTTCACTGGCTGAAATGTGCAGGTAGGATTGATGGCAACTCACGATAAAGAAACGAAGAGGTTTTTCAAGGATTCATCTGTGAATTGTGTGCTAGCACCACGTTATGCTAGTAGGGAGTGTAGCTTTTTCAAACAACAGGCATGTTTTATATCCCTATTTTTCATTTTAGTAAATTGCTGTCTCTGTTATAGTTAGAAGACTAGTTAGCTCGTATGAATGTATGTTGATTAAATGTCGCAAAAATCACTTGACACTGAGTTGAAATAATAATTGTTGGATCTTTTATAGTTCTGTCATCGCTTGTTTTCTATAAGTTTTAGAAAACCATTTGTTTTCTTCTTTTAGAATTAACGATGGGTTAAAATTGTTTGTATGATGATGTTGTCCAGACTGTTAGTACCATCTTTACACACCATCAGAAATGTGTTGTTGTTGACACACAAGCATCCGGTAATAATCGGAAGATAACATCATTTATAGGAGGTATTGATCTCTGTGATGGTCGCTATGACACCCCTGACCATCGTCTCTTTCGTGATCTCAACACTGTGTTCAAGGATGATTTCCATAATCCTTCGTATCCTGTGAGTGGCTTTCTTGCCAATATTAAATATTTTGGTTTAACTTCAGCATTTCTTTGTACAGCATACTATTTCCATGTGAGCATACTAATTCCGTTTGAGCATAATTTTTGCAACCCATTATATTACTTGTTGGCTAGGACTCTTAGACTTGTGTATTTACTTTTCTCAATATAACAAAGGACACCCTCAACCCACACACACACGCACCCACTCTTAAGAATTCTTTTATTGCCATGCTGTTTGAATCATGGTCATGTGCTGAATTTTCAGTTTCAGGCATGTATCTAGTTAACTGTGAAGATTAACTTTGTTCTCATTAAATGTCGTTGGCCTCAGTCTGAAAATAAATAATCACATTTATAAAAAATCATTATTATATTGTTTGACACTGGGCCATGCATTCTATTTAGCTCAAAATCAACTGTATAGGATTATACTTTCAAACGTCCTTCATGTGCAAGTAGTTCTAGTGCTATTGTTTTCTTGCTCTTTTTCTTCACTTGGTTTTACAATTCTTTTTGGTGTCAGACTGGAACCAAGGCTCCAAGACAGCCATGGCATGATTTGCACTGCAGAATTGAAGGGCCAGCTGCACATGATGTTCGTATAAACTTTGAGCAGTGTTGGAGGCAAGCAACTCCGCGCGCAAAATCCACTCGAAACTTTAAAAAGGTTTCTCATTTGCAAGACGATTCTCTGCAAGATGATTCTCTGCTTAAGATAGAGCGCATCGCAGCGATATTAAGTCCTTCCGTATCTGTGTCAAGTGATGGAACCACACTAGTTCCACAGGATGGCGACGTAGTACAGGTTTCCAAGGAAGAAAATCCTGAAACCTGGAATGTTCAGGTCATACACTGCAAATATAATATTGAATGAAATTTTATTCTTTGGTTTGTTATTTTTAGTTTCTTTAATTCTTAGTGAATTTTTTCTTTTTTACAGATTTTCCGGTCCATTGACTCAGGATCACTGGAAGGATTTCTAAAGGATGTTAACAAGGCTGAGAATCAGGTTTGTGTATCAACTAACTTTGCTCTCTTAATACATAGAAAATCCTATCTGTCATCCATAGAGGATAATATTAGAGGTCGTGACCGGTACTTGATATTGACTTGACAATTTAATCTCTTTCATTCATCTGTTGCTCAATCAGTCCTGAATGAATTCTTCTCTTGCAGAAGAACCTTATCCGCGCAAAAGACTCGGTAATAGACAAGAGCATTCAAATGGCATACATTCAAGCCATCAGATCTGCTCAGCGTTTCATATATATTGAAAATCAGTATTTTATTGGATCATCTTATGCATGGCCATCGTATAAAGATGCAGGTTAAAATCTGATCGATCTTTTCTGTTTGTACTATATTTTCTTCTTATCAAGAAGTCTGACACCAAAAGTTTTGTAATACAAGGAACACACAAATATGAAGTAGTTAATTGCAAAATTTTCTTAGGATCTTTGAAAGAGGTGTTCAGGAGCTAATATAGAAATTTCAATACGCCATCATTTCTCTGTAACATTTTCGGTTAATAGATTGCGGACATAATAAACCATTACTATGTTTTCTATTCCCCCTAAATTTTTTTGAAGTCATTCTGTTCTTGTATGAGCAGGAGCTGATAACCTTATCCCTATGGAGTTGGCACGAAAGATTGAAAGTAAAATTAGAGCTAATGAGAGATTTGCGGTGTATGTTATCATACCTATGTGGCCTGAGGGTGATTCAAATTCTTGCCCTGTGCAAGAAATTCTGGTTTGGCAGGTTTTATTTTGATATATGTCCCAAAACTTATGAACTAGAATTGTTACTTGCATATAAAATTTAACTATCAAATTGATTCATACTCTTGTTTCACCGACCCTGTTCACTAGCATCTTCAAAAATGTATTATCTTGTATTGCTTCGAAACAATAATGTGTTGTTCTTTTTTAATTATTGGTTCGGAGTTTAAGGGCTCTCTTCTATCTTTTGCCATGCCAGATATAATATGATCTTGGTTCATAAATTGGCCTGATTTAGTTTGGTTCCTTCACTTGGGTTTAGAATTGTGACATAACTGTGGCTTTTGAAAAACACAATGGGAAGTCTGGTAAAATTTTATTCTAAACACTAAATGTCTTCTTTAGCAATTCAATTGGTATATTCTTTTATGTTGTTGCTATCCAATTGGATTCTATAAGTTTACTTTAGCTTTATACTTGGGAAATAGGATGAGCACTTGTTATTTTAATACCTTCATCATTCTAGTTTCTCTTCGGATGTTTTGACATTTTTGTCAAGAAAATGTATATTAAAAATAACAATGCAGAATTTATTTTGTCCAACTTCCACGTATTTGCACTTTGCAGAGCCAGACAATGCAGATGATGTATAGAATTGTTGCACAGGCACTGAAAGATATGCAGAGGAATGCACATCCACAAGATTACCTCAATTTTTATTGCCTTGGTAAACGGGAAGCAAACCCAGATGTGTCAACCAGTAGTGGTGAAAAGGTATTTACTTGGAAGAGAATTCCTTTTGTGCTTTTTTAAGCTTACTGTAATACAACTTTCGTTTTAGGACTAAATTATTTGTTTGTTGTTAATTATTGTGGCTAAATAATTTTCTTGTTCTTAATATAAGATCTCTATTAGCTATTTCTTTTCTCTCTTGAAAAAGTCACAAGCATTATTGCAATCCTTAGACTTCATGAGTAGTTAATTTGTGAACTTTTCTGTCTAATTGGTGCTTTTGATTTCCAGTTTGACTTGTTGATGTCAAATGTTTTATGGTAGATATATGATCATGGTACATAACATATATAAATCTTTTAACTTTTAAAGTATATTTTCTGATGGAAGCATGACATTTTTGAAATACGAGCTCTATTAATCATTCGTGTATATAATAAGTTTTCTAAAGGAAGCAGGACATATTTTTAAATTATAGTTACTAATTAAAGATTTATCAGGTATCTAAATCACAAGAACATCAGCGGTTTATGATATATGTCCATGCTAAGGGAATGATAGTAGATGATGAATATGTGATAGTGGGATCTGCCAACATTAATGAAAGATCAATGGCTGGCAGTAGAGACACTGAAATAGCCATGGGTGCATATCAGCCGCATCATGCTTGGGCGAAAAACAAGAGGCATCCATATGGCCAGGTCTGTATAGTTGTTTGATATTCATCCAACTTTATTTTGGTACTCATCCCTAACTGTTTCTTGAAAGAGCATGATCAAAAGATTTGAACAAGTTCAAATGATTTTGATGAAATATGGAATGCATCTTTATTATTATTGATTTCCCTTCAATCACCTTAATTCATGTGATTGATAATATCTTAACATGATGTGTTCAGCTATGTGTGAATGTTTAGATTCCGATAATTGCTTGCCATTCTGTAGATGTAATTCTGCCGTTCTGTGTGATATATACATAACGTGACCAGCATGATAAAATGTGCCTTGTGCAGATCTATGGATTTAGGAACTCACTTTGGGCAGAGCATCTTGGTGAGCTGGAGGCTTGCTTCGAGAAGCCTGAAAGTTTGGACTGTGTAACGACAGTAAACCGGATCGCTCGAGACAACTGGTATAAATTCACCACTAAGAATTTCACGCAACTCCAGGGCCACCTTCTAAAATATCCACTTACGGTAGAGATTGATGGGACATTAAGCCCTCTACGGGGACACGAGAAATTTCCAGATACAGGTGGTGAAGTCATTGGAAGGCGTTCCTGGATTTTGAATGCTACTTTGACCACATAATTCCACCTCCCATTATTTTGTTTGTTGAAACGCTGGAGGAAAAACATCGGAAAGACAATCAGGTTTTTTTATTTATCTTTCTAGTTTGAAGAATTGAACTCCTTGACTGATTTATGATCAAAAATGAATTTTAAGTTAAATACTGATCAAATCCTTGTCTTTGGAACACATAAATATTTTTGGTAGGTTGATATTATACATTGATTGCTTCTGATAATATAGATTTGATATTATATATGGGTTGCAATCTATTAACTTAAATGAGATGACAATGATAATAATCACCTCCAATTTTTATCTAATATCCGTTAAATTGTAATCAATCAATGGTCATGAAATTGTAATAAATCAATGATAATGAAAAGCAAATGAACCTGAATTTTATCTTCTTACCAGATTTGACCTTCTCAAGGGCTTCAAACAAAGCCGCCTTTTGCTTCTCTGTAGGAACCTGAATTTGTATTCCAGTAAATTACCCACAGTCAATCAAAGGGCCGAATACAAGAAGATTCTAAGATTAACAAACACTATTTGAACTACATTCAGAATCTTACTTATTATCTGTTATCTGTTAAATTGTAATAAATCAATTGTCATGAAATTGTGTTAACAATTTAAATAATAAATTTAAGTTAAAACATCACATCCCATTAAATAGTAAGGTTAACTTAATTAAACTAGGAAATTCATTTAAAGTTTTGAAATAATAAAAATTCTAATGATAATGTATTTTTAAGGGGTTTTTGTCATTACATCAAATCTGATCTTAACTCTATAATAAAATAAAAGTAATAGATTGAAGAGTTTTCTATTTCTTAGTGTCCAGGTCAATTTACACAGGTAAACCATAATTGAAACTGGGATTGTATTAACACATGCACAACCCATTTGGTTTGTCCTAACACAAACTTTAATGTAAATATTCTGAGATTAAATCTAAGATTTCTCATTCTTTTAGGTATAAGTTACATTAAATTTAAATTTCCAAAATGCCATAATATGAACCTCCTACAACATATTTAATTTTTTTTTTTCTTTTTTTACTTTTTACATATAAAAAAATTTATTCCTAGAAGCATTCCCTCGACACATAATTTTTAGTCCTTCCCTTGACACGCAATTTTTAATCACAACCCATATATGCAAGTACTTAAGATTAATGCATCAAATACAGTTTTAATGTTTATGCAAGAAAAGCACAAATGATGCCCACAATAAAAAAAAATGTCAGGACAGAAAGATATTCTATATCTAATTGATTAGGCAAGAGTGGTACAAGAAAACTGCAGAACATAGCATGATAAGAAACACATTAATAAAAAGAGTATTACCTTACTCCTGCCATTACCTTGAAGTCGTCCTCTAATGATTATTTAATATAATTTTAGAAGTTAAATTTGCTTCCATGAGCTAAATGAACCTATCATTAATACAGAATGGTCAAGATAGTGCCACAGACTCAACTTTCCTAACTTTAAGAACTGTAAATTGTTTAACTGAAAACTCGCATTGCTGAATCTATTGCACAACGTCAAGTAGTCAGACCTACTAACAGACCTAAAAAATTGTTTACAATTGAGATAGAGATATTAACATATATTGTATTGTAATGTTTTCTGAAGCCAACTTAAAATAATCGTATTACTAATTAAGAATTATAAGAGCTTTACTATTTTCAGAAACAGAAGAGAGGTGTGAACATTCGATTTACAATATAAAAGATGATAGGAAGCTTGGTCCAGAAACTGGTGTGTGCTCTTACAAAAAATGTTTGATGAGTAAGTCTGAGTCCAGAAGGATCTGCATATTAATAAAGATCTCAATTAGCTTTAAAGATGAAAATAAATGCAGGTTTTGAGATATAAAAATGGCATAATCATGTTCGAGGCCACAAACTCCAAATTTCAAGCCACAACATTTACGACTGAAGCAAAAAGAAAAATATTCAGTTTCTCACGGATAATATACCATTTGAGAACTAATAGTCATGGGCTGAAGTCTCCTGCTCCCACTTCTTCCAGCCGCGAGTTTGTCCAATATAACTATTGGTTAGTAACTAAATCTAGTAGTTACTAGAGGGAAAAGATAACATCATAATTGATTATCATGGCAAGTTTTTTTGGACAGATTTCATACCTTTAGCCTCCCAAGCAACCTGGTAACAGCACTGTATAAGACATGAAAGACTGCTAAAAAGAATACGAGGATGTGTAATTGGTGCAATGCTTCTGCTGATATAAGCGGTTCATACCCCTGAAGACAGAAAACAGATTAGCTATTACATGAATTTATGGATTTTGATTAGTACATAAAAGGTATCAACCGTCAAAATTTAGGGGGTAAAAGTACATTAGGTCTTGCATCTTAGTAGGACAATGTTTCCATGTAACATATACCTTGCATGAGAAATTATAAATTTTCCATAGAAGCTTCAAGTTGAATACCAGGAGATGAAGCTTGGTTCATACTGCATTATCCAGGATTTCATTCATCACTCAAAACAAATTTATAGTCCTAACTTTCTATATGACTACATGAGACATTCAACAAAAAGAACATGCATATGGATGTCGTAAGTCTTGTGATTTAATTAAAATCTAGAAACACACAAGTTAATGTTAAGATTCAAGTTGGTATATAGGAGGAAGCTTAGTTAGTTAGAAATCAGTTATACTGAGCTGTAGTTAGTTGAAGTTGTTATAGGTGGTTAGTTGACAGTTATAAGCTTATTTCTTTGTATATAAACGAAATGTAACAGACTTTCTTTTTATCAATAACAATTCCCTCTTTTTCAGGTTACTTGCTCCCAAATTAACATGGTATCAGAGCCACAATTCTAGGGCTTGAGGATTCTGGAAATTCACAGAGAACTTCACTCTGTTCATCAATAATTTTTCAAACTGTTTATCAGTTTCTTCTACCCTAGTCATCTGTTTCATTAGCTTCGTCAGCTTCTTCTCCTCTGGATCTGTCTCATTAGCTTCGTTAGCTTCTTCTCCTATGGATTTCGTTTGTCAAAAATTTCTTCTTTGATCTCGTTTCATCTGATCAAGAAGCTATTATCTTCATTCCTCCAAAATGGCAGCTGTTAGTGCAGATGGAGAAATACAGTCTTCTGCGAATAATGGAAGTGATCAATCAAGTTCATCAATCGATTTCAATCATCAACTTTATCTGCATCCTTCTGATACTCCAGGTGCTGTTCTTGTTTCCTTTCAATTGATTGGTGTTGATAATTACTCGTTATTGAGTAGATCTATGAAAATTTCATTGTTAGCCAAAAATAAGATTGGTTTTATTGATGGAACTTGTACAAAGGATAGCTTTCCAGTTAGCTTGCACAACCAATGGGATAGATGTAATGCTATACTTCTCTCCTGGATCATGAATTCAGTTACTAAAGAACTTTTAAGTGGCATCGTTTATGCATCTAGTGCACATTTGGTATGGAAAGATTTAAAAGAAAGGTTTGATAAGGTGAATGGATCTAGAGTTTTCCAGTTGCATAGAGAAATTGTCACCTTAGTACAAGGAACTTCGTCCATCTCCACATATTTCTCCAAACTAAGAGTGTTATGGGATGAATACTCATCTATTGTCCAGCTTCCTTCATGTGAGTGTTCTATGTCAAAGGATTACGTAGATCACATGCAAAATCAAAAGTTACTACAATTCTTGATGGGATTAGATGAAACTTACTTGCATGCTAGAAGCCAAATCCTCATGATGCAACCTCTACCATCTATCAACCAAGCCTACTCCATGCTCGTCACTGAAGAGAGCCACAGAAGTTTAACCAATGCTGTTGCTGTAGAATCATCATTTGAACCGACAGTGTTCTATTCTTTATCCAACCAACAATCAGTCAAACCTAAAAAGAATTGGAATATAACCTGTGAACATTGTCATGTGAAGGGACACAAAAAGGATAATTGCTATAGAATCATTGGCTATCCTGCTGATTTTAAGTTCACCAGAAGAAAGAATCCTACTCAATCTTCAGCAAATAATGTTACCTCTACTGAATCCTTTGATCACAATAGTTCCACAGCCCCTCAAAACAACACTCAAGCAGCAGCTTCTCCAATCTTCTCTAAAGAGCAGTATGTAGAGATACTGAAATTGCTCTAGAAGGAACCCGTATTACCTCCCAATGATGCACATGTCAACATGGCAGGTTTTCACTCTTATTTTTTATCCGTTGATCATGGAGTTTGCTGGATATTAGACACAGGTGCTAGTCACCATATGACAGCTTCTTTAAACACTTTGAACAAATTGATGGGGATAGCTTCTCCTTCCACAGTTAGGCTACCCAATGGACATCATTCAACCGTAACACATATTGGATCCTGTAATATTGGTCCAGATCAAAAACTGACTAATGTCTTATTTGTGCCAGATTTCAAGTTTAATTTGATTTCTATATCAAAGCTCACCAAAGACTTATCTTGCTTTGTCAGTTTCTATCCTGATTTCTGCATATTTCAGGGCCTCTCCAATGGCAAAATACTGGGGATTGGTAAAGAATCAGAGAGTCTCTACTTCTTCATGCCTTCTCATGCATCCAAGGCTAACATTTCTACTTTGAATAAAACCTTACCTGTTTCATGTTCAGTTTCTATAAGCCAGTTTTGGCATAAACGTCTTGGCCATGTGCCATATGCAAAACTGAGATATTTTTCTGAAATAAGAAATTTTAATTCTGATGATGCTGAATACCATTGTGATGTTTGTCCTCTTGCCAAGCATATAAGAAAGCCCTTTCCTATTAGCACTACAAGAGCTCCTGCATGTTTTCATTTGTTGCATATGAATGTATGGGGACCATATCATACTCCTACACATAATCATCACAAATTTTTCCTTACGGTAGTTGATGATCATTCCAGGGTTACTTGGGTTTTTCTCATGACAAATAAACATGAAGTTATAGTTCATATTAAGAGCTTTCTTACTCTCATCAAGAATCAATTCTCAGCCTCTGTCAAGATCATTCGGACAAATAATGGTTTGGAGTTTCTCAACTCTCAATGCTCTGCATTATTCACTTCACTTGGAATTATTCACCAGAAAACTTGT